CTTAATTTATATTTGGAGAAAACTTATCCTTAACTTTTATACTATTAATTTATTTACATGACAACTCACATGGTTGCCATTAAGTTAGAACAAGGGCAAAAAATTTAAAGAATTGTGTTAACAGTTAACTGACGACGTATAACGGTGAAAATAAACGGCTCAAGTAACACCATCCAAATAGAAGGACGACATTGAATGGGAAAAGGTCAGTAGAGGGGTGACGTTGATTTGTGTTTGGGAGGTGAAGGGATGACGATGAATAAATCCTTAATAGAAGGACGGGCATGGACAAGAAATAAAAGTAGAGGGACAATAATTGACTTTAACTCAAAAAAACAAACTAACATAATCAAAAGTTAAAGATCAAAACCTCTATTTGCACTCTCCATTTATATCATTTTCGTGATGAACATTTTCCAAAATTTGTTTCCTTGTTCACATCTTTCACTTTTCAAAACTCGTAAAAAATCTAATATTTTAACGGACCATCACGGTACTGTTAATAATCATTAAAAAATACAATATGTGGCATTCAAATAATGACATAGGTGTTATGTGGTATTATTTATCTAATGTGGACACTTTTTTGATGATGTGGCATGATGACATGACATAATTTTAATCTGAAAACCTCCCAACCAGAAAAGAAAAAAAAATGATCGAGTCCCACAAGGAACCCAATCGGGTTCCTCACGATGAGGAACTTGATCTGGGTTCCTTACAACGAACCCAATTTGGGTTCCTCAACACTAGGTTCCTCACGACGAGGAACCTGATTTGGGTTGTTCGACGAGGAACATGATCTGGGTTCCTCACGACGAACCCGATCTGGGTTCCTCATCGAGGAACCCAAAGCTGGGCTCCTCACGATGAGGAACCTGACCTGGGTTCCTCGTCGAATCCAGTTTGTACTTTTTTTTAGCCTTTCTTTTCTATGATTCTTTCTAGTTTTGATAGAATAATAAGACGATGATTTGATTCTTTGATGGGTTCTTAAATTTTTTTGCAAGTGAATTAATTCTTTGATGGGTTCTTAAATTTTCTTGCAAGTGAAATTAAGAGATTGTTCTTCCATAGAGGCTGGGTTCCTTGTGGAACCCAAAAGCAACTCTGGGTTCCCCGTCGAGTAACTCGATGGGTTCCTCGTTGTGAGGAACCCAAAACTGGGTTCCATCGTGAGGAACTGGGTTCCTCGTTGAACCCAGTTTGTACCTTTTTTTAGCCTTTCTTTTCTGTGATTCTTTCTGGTTTTGATAGAATAATGAGATGATGATTTGATTCTTTGATCGGTTCTTAAATTTTCTTGCAAGTGAATTAAAAGATTGTTCTTCCATAGAGGCTGGGTTCCACGAGGAACCCAAAAGCGATGACCTAGATTTGAGTCCCTCCATGCGATACATGCAGTAGGTCTTATTGTACACATGGTGTTCACGTGTGCAGAAAATAAGCCACATCATCAAAAAAAAAGATCCACATTAGATTACTAACATTATATAGTACCACATCAATTTTTGGATGCTACATAATGCGTTTTTAATAGTGCCGTGACGGCTTGTTAAAACATTAAGTTTTTCATGAATTTTGAAAAGTGGAGAGTATGAATAGAAAAAAAAAATTTAGAAGGTATTGATTACAAAAATAATATAAATGAATGGTGCAAATAGATTTTGACCGAAGTTAAAACCTCGATACATGGATTCATGTGTTCGAGTTTTTGTTGGTTCTTTTTGAGTGGTTGTGTGGAGTGGGTGTTGTCAATGTCAT